GGATTTCGATTTCATTTCTTGCGTGAAGTATATATTTTTCTGCATTAATTTAATTAAAACGAGGCAGCATCCATGTGATTCACAAAGCACACGCACCGCATGGGACTCTTTCACCTCACCGCACAACACTTATTAATTATGATTTATTTAGGATACACACACGTGATCATTGAGCTACGGACCATATTAGCGCGTCAGAGTAGATAAAGAAAATAGCCTAAATTTATCAATNCGTGATTCACAAAGCACACGCACCGCATGGGACTCTTTCACCTCACCGCACAACACTAATTAATTATGATTTATTTAGGACACACGATTTCGATTGATCTACGGACCATATTAGCGCGTCAGAGTAGATAAAGAAAATAGCCTAAATTTATCAATCAACTGTTATTTTTTACTTAAATTTTATTGAGTTCTATTAACATTATTTTTTGAATAATTACGATCTGCTTTGTAAATGTTTTTTTTCGTTCTACATACTTCTTTGAAACTTAAGGGGCATGCCCGTAACTAACGGAGGTATGTTGTATGGATGGTCTTACAAATTTAAGAAAATAAAGGGCGGGGGTGGGGTGACTGTGACGCAAATAATTGATAAGTTTTGAACGGTGTTTTATTGCCAACTAATTCTAGCGGGAAGTTTCGACGAAGCTGCTTCGCATCTCTCTCTGTCGCACACGGAGACACGCAAAAGCAGTCGGTTAGTCAGTCAATGGCTGGCACAATCTGGATCAAAAAAATGGCCCGCATAACAGCAAGGAGTGGTATATTGTTATCCAAATCATTCGGAAGCGGCTGAATCAACATTATCCCACCCACCCACCACGGTAAACAAAACTACAATTTGACAGTTTATAACAATAAATATTTATTCTCTCTATCTCCAGATAGATCATATTATAATCACGCGTTTTTTATTGCATTTGCATTTGCATCCCAATCCCAATCCCAATCCCAATCCCAATCCCAATCCCATCCCAGTTGTTTGTTGTTTCATCTATTTTTAGATCAGAGAGAGATGAGCCACACTTTAATCGCGGCTCCCTTCATTTCAACCACAACAACCGTTCCCTTGTTACCATTTGCTAACAATAGCAACAACTCAATTAGAAACACTTCCATTTTGTTGTTCTTAACAATACCAATTGGTTTGAATTTGTCGGATTCTTTGATTTCAAGACATTGCTATTGTCGTTCTTACCCGGGGTGGCTCCGTTTAAGCGGCGGTGCCATCTCTCTTGCGACAGTGTCGTTATGACCAGTGGAAAAACCGACGTCGAGTCCACCCTTGCTGCTGCCACTATCGGAGATTGGACCCACCACGATGACTTTTCGGATCCTTTCGACATTGCTAACACCAAGAATGCGTCCCTCGACACGCTCAGACGCTGGAGGGTACGTTTTCCTACCTACAATACAAATACAATGCATCCCACACATTGAAATTTGCATTTGCCATTGCTGATTTCTTGTATAAATTTATCTACCTATGCTTTCTGTTTCCAGCAATGTATCCAGGGGCGGAGCAGGATTTTCTCCTGAGGGCCCAAATAATGACATAACATAATATTTTTATTTAATCTGGGTCATTCAATAACATCATTAATATCAATTTTTCATATGCCTAGAATATATCAGAATTAACCTAACATGGTACAGTGTAATCATTGCTTTTTAATAAAATTAATTTAAACTAACTCAATTAAATAAATGTAAAAATAAATCAATTCATCAAATAATTAATTATATAAGTTGAATTTTATCATCTAATTATTCAAGTATAATTAAATTTCATCATACTTTTGGCAAATGTGAAGAGAGAGAGAGTGGGGAGTAAGAACAAATATTTGAAATACATAGTCTAAATAATTTTGAACTTTTCATGTAGTGTTTTAATATATTATAATTTGTCTCTTAACTATGACATTAATTTCACTTCAACTATTCATGCAAAATGTCAATATTAATAGTTAATGGTACAATATGGTCAAATAAAAAATCGAGAGCATAAAATAAAAGCATTATAATTTAAGGTATAAAGTATAATTTTAAGAATTTCAAATGACATATAAAATGTAATCAAAAATATAATTTTAGGGGTATAATATATAATTTTCAAAAGTTGAGGTGTGCCATAACATGGCTCCGCCCCTGAATGTATCAACTATTTATTACACATTCCATGGGTTTTTTTTGTTTTTCATTCTCTTCATTGAATTGCAAGTTAGTTAGACTGATGGATTAGATGGTATTGTCATGGCGCATTAGCTTTTGACATTTACCAAGCAAAATGTGCATAATTTTTGCTGCATTGGCTGTGACATGACAGTAATAGATGTGAATATTCATAGAGGAGTTTAAGAAGCTGGAACTCGGACTTAAACTGTTGTGAACTGCTATGTGATGAAAATTTGATGCTTTCCACACTAGTTGTAGATATCAACTCCTGAAAATTTGATTGACTAGCAGCAATTTTCTGTTAAAATTAAGATAAGACCCACTTTTTCTACAAACATGCCCCTCCCCCATCGCGGGGTGCTGGTGGCAGTGGGATTTGGCTTGGAAAAGGTTCTAGGGTTCAGTAACCTTTTGTTCGTAGTTAAGCTTGAATATCAGAAATGTATGATGCCTGCATAATATATTGGCCCTATTTTCGATGGATCTAGCCAAATAGTATGATGTCTGAATTCTATATTGGCCTCTTTCTTTTATTTTTACATAATCTTACATGGTGAAATTTGTTGATTCATCTTACTAAAGTCTTAACCCAGTTATTCGAGGTATGTCACATGAATACTACTTTTCTTGTAAATTCCATCTATATTTTTACAGTCTTGCTCAATAGAGAAAGTGACAATGTACTGTGGTCTTGATCAGAGTGAACTGTATGCTTAATAGTTGTGTTATGCATTTTTCATTCGTGCACCTACATATATGAACAATCAAGCTAGCAATGTGCCAAATTTAGATGGTTAGACCTGGTCGGTTCAAACTTTAAGCAACAATAGATTGGTTGCAAGACATGACATCAATTTGATTTTTATTATTTTAGATAATTAAATTTACTTACAACATATGCATATGTAAAAGAAAACATAACTAGTAAAAACATATTGAAATGCTCGTTAGTTGGTTCATGGGTAATTAGAACTCCACATTTTTGAAAGATTGTACTAGGGCATTAGCATGCTTTACTATGGTCCAGTTGAACTAAAATACTAACACCATATCTATGGTAAGGGCCTTTTAAATAAGGCTCGCGTAGAGGCATTGTCAACTGGCGGAGCTGTTGAAGGGAGGAAGAGGTATTGAAGTCTGTTACTTGAGTTCTCCTCGAAGGCATGACTCAATGCATCACCTTGATTGCTCTTGCCTCTCCATTTGTTATTTGTAAAGGGGCTCCTTGTGGCGAGAAATGGAGAGGGAGATCAAATGATGTGGTGAGAAATGAAGGCTTTGTTTTCTTGAGGTCAAGAGTTCAACTCGCCCTCAAAAAAAAAAAAACACATGTTGTCACACGTCTGCATACTTCGGAGGTAAATGATGAGATGTGCAGTGCAAGTGAAAGTGAGGTAGAGCATCATTCATAGGGCTAACCTTGAGTTGGCCCATGCACTCGAGTTTGTTGACCCTGATTGGTGTGGTGGTGATTCAATATGTGCGAGTCGAAGGCATTTTATCATGTCTTGATGCCACACGACTATAGATTTCTGATTTGGCTAAAATGTTGTGGGAAAGATTTAAGGGTGTCTTACTGGGGAAATCTTTCATTCTTTGAATTATGAAGTGCGAGTAACCGATAGTATGGGGGAATGAGAGAGGAGGAGGGTACTACGGAAGATAACATGCACTAGTGGTTCGCTTTGACATAGGTCCGAATTCTTTTTAATATGTTCACGAGTGCAGGAGATGTCTGGGGCTTTTATTGTTTCAACAAGTATCTGTTACTTGTTCTACAAGGAAGAGGGGAAACATTCTTTACTTTGAAGTGTTAAAATGTGAATATGTTCTTTCAGGCCATTAATATTTAAAAGTAGAGAACATGTTATGTTGGCATACTATGTCTTATGAACCATGTTCTGCTAAGTTGAAGCCAGGGTTAGAATGGAAAGGAGAAAAAATCGTATAACACTGTCAATTGCAAAACACATAAGAATAGTTGTCAGTTTTCTAGAAGCGTACATGAGGAGACAAAAGTGAAATTTACTATGGAAAGAAGATTACAGGATGACTATTTCCCTAAAATCTAAACCTTTGTCACAACAATATTCTATTACTATAAAACCTCTAAATTAGCCTCTTTAACAGTTTTGCTTATGGGAGGATACCCATTTTATAATAAAAGGATGTGGATGAGTTGCTCAACATGTGGATACATACATTTTGTTTCTTGAGACCCTGTGTTTGGGAACTTCTTTTTGACCCTTAAAGAAACTTCTGAAGGACCTACAAAAATGCGAGTTACTGAGAATCATAGAGTGATGATGTTATATTCGAGATCGAATTGTAACATTACATCTGTTAGCAACAGTGTATCATAAGAATAATTAGAAACTCCAATGATTAATCCTTGCCTTGTCCTAAGACTGACGATTGGATTATTTTGATGATTGGTTATGGGCCATTCACCCATACCTGCATAGTTGTATTCACTATTTTCATGTAACAAATAGGTTGTTGTGGCAACTGTTGCCTTCTTTGCCCTTTGAAATAAAGTAACCTTTCTGAATTTTTTTTATGATACCTACAGTTGTTGGCCAGTTAGTTATGGATCTCAAGTTATGATTACTCAATGCTTTATTCAAGCTAAAGGTGTTTTGGCCCTTTACAGCAAGCAGCACTCGTGCTTAATGCTTCACGTCGATTTCGGTACACTTTGGACTTAAGAAAGGAAGAAGAGAAAGAACAAAGGAGGAGGATCAGAGCACATGCCCAAGTCATAAGAGTAATGATAAAGGACGTTTCTTCCATGTGTTTCAGATTGCTATATCACTTTCTAATGTTTTGATACTTCTTATTTAGGCTGCATTGCTTTTCAAATTGGCTGGGCAACGAGCAATTGGTATTTACTCTTGAAAATTCGTTCTTCATCATTGCTTTATTGTATTGTATAGAGAAAATATTTTTTGCTTAGAATTAGTAAAAGGAAGTGATTTTTTCTAACATCTACTGCAAATGCTTGATCTGATATAAGCAAATTGTCAGGGAATTCCCTAAGTGATTAACAATGAGTAATAACAATTACTCGTTGGAAGACCTCCAAGGGGAGGAGAGTCTAGTTACGAAAGTTCGATAAAATTTTGCAGAGGATGAGAACTATTGGTCACTGTCTCACTGATGTTTCTGTAATGTCTGCATAGTGTTATTACTCTTTTCTCGTTGAAACTGCTACCAGAATCTATCATTTACTACTTACTGGGGGACATGCATAGAATGAAGGTCACATTTTTTTTGTTTATTGGCAAGTGTGATTACATCATTCTTTTGCTGCAGCATTATTGCTTTTAGTATGGGTAATCTGAAATGTCCCGATCATGGTCTTTGCAGGAATTTTGCAATCATATCTAGATATCTGGGTTATGGGGTATCATATGAGGCTGATTTAAGTTTTGGTTTGTTTAGTGTTAGGCACAGCAGTTACTCCTCCAGCGTTAAATGGTGATTATGGAATTGGACTGGAACAACTTGCTGCAATGACTAGGGATCAAAATTTTTCTGCACTACAACAATATGGAGGGGCAAGTCAATTATAAACTATGGTTCACTATGCTCTGCAGCAAATGGCCACTTGCATTTATCTCACATATCACTCATTATTTTATTCAGGTAAAAGGGTTATCAGATTTGTTAGAAACAAATCTGGATAAGGGTTTTGTTGAGGATAATGACGAATTATCAAAGAGAAGGAATGCTTTTGGATCAAACACATACCCCAAGCAAAAAGGCCGGAGTTTCTTGGTATACTACCTAACTTTTGGTAGTCTTATTCTTTTCAGTGAGGCATTCTTTACTAGTACTGCTATTCATTCGTGACTTTTGTTTTATAGAGGTTTCTTTGGGAAGCTTGGCAAGATTTAACCCTCATTATCTTGGTGATAGCTGCTTTAGCATCCTTGGCACTAGGCATAAAAACAGAGGTGAGCTTGGACATACGATGATTGTTACTTTCATTTGGTATCAGTTACAGATTGATCCATTTGATAAAGTTCATTGTTTCATGATCATGGATGATGAGACAAAGACCCTGGGTCCCTCATTTATGAAGTAAACGCATTGATTTAAGATAGTGAAACTTATGTTATACCTNTTTGATCCATTTGATGAAGTTCATTGTTTCATGATCATGGATGATGAGACAAAGACCCTGGATCCCTCATTTATGAAGTAAACGCATTGATTTAAGATAGTGAAACTTATGTTATACCTAAAATAAGGATGCACCCGAAGAAATGAAGTCCTTTGTTCCCTTGCCATTGTAAAAAAGTTTAGGCAAAAAGTTTCCCTCGTTCGATTTTTATTATTGAAATATTTTGTCACTTTTTGTCTGTTTATTTATTCTCCATCTTCACTTGTTCTCTAACACTGCATATTCCTGCATTTGTACTGTTTCTTCTGCCATCAAGGTTTTTTCTTTTGCAATTTTACTTTCTTGCAGGGTCTGAAAGAAGGCTGGTATGATGGGGGAAGCATTTCCTTTGCTGTACTTCTTGTTATATTTGTTACTGGTAATTGATTTGATCTTCATTTTATTTCTCTGTTGATAATTTGTCACTTGTTTTTGACGCGAAGGCAGAGAAGAGAACATGAATTTTTAAGGCTCCTGTGGATTTTGTCAGATTATAAGTTTTTTTTTTTTGTTTTCTTTTCTGGCATTTCTTCTTCACTTTGGGACTTTGAAGACCTTAATTGAAGTTGTGCTTACTAGAGGACTTTCTCCACTCTATTTTTGCAATTTTTTCTGGGGGGAATCGGAAAGTGTAACTAACAACAAAAGGATGACAAAAGCAGTGTTTGTTGGCCTCTGTAGCTGTAAGGTTTAGTAGAAAGCAGATGTATACAAGCCCTTCGCATTCTTGTTACATGGTAAAAACTAAAAAATACAATGACACTGACACCCCTTCATATTTACAAAAACAACACGACCACCTACTTACATTATTACTGCAATGATAAAGAGATCTCATTGGAGTTTTTTTTTAACTAAGAAATGACTTATTTACCCTCAATTAACAAATGAAAATCGGCTATAATTAGTAAAAATTACAAAATTAAATTAAAATAGAATACCATGGGTCGGAACACCCTCTCTCCCAGAAGCTACCCTATCCTATGGAACCCATCCACGCACCAGATATAAGACCCCTCACTCTTCCACCCTCCGCACACAGCCAATCCCGAACCTTGTTACTCAGCCCCCCCTCCCCCTTGAAATTCCCCTGGATAGAAGATGATGATTTCAAATTCAATAAAAAGAACTGAGTGTGAGACAAATAAACAACTAATGAACGTTTTGTGATAGATTTATACGATGTTGGTTGTATAGAACGAAAACATCTTTTGATTTTGCTTTCTATAAACTGATAGTCCTCTGAAAGTCTTGGCAGAGATGGTTCTCATGTGTTTACCCCGTGGTTGATTGCCTTGAAGAGTCTGAATTATGAGAATCTGTTTGGAGGGATCGACAGATGGGAGGGAGAAGGAGAGCTGCAAGGGTGCGTCGGGGCTGGGAGGTTCCATTGAAGGTGTTTTGTGTGTGTAACAGAGAGTTTGTGTATGGGTGAGAGAGATTGGAAGAAGAAAAGGAGGAGTGTTTGGTTACGGGCTTAAATTGTGTTCTAGAAAGGAATAAGTTTGAAAATACATGTGGCTGCTGGTTTAGTGTTTAAAATTTAGCCCAATAACTTTCAAAGGTTGTGGGTTTGAATCTGAGTGTAGTCATTTTGTGAAAATAAATCCAAAGATTAAGTTTGAACCTAATGCATTCCCCCGTGATTCCATTCATGGAGGCTAAACTGGGAATAATTTTCTGAAGAAATTAGTTTTAGAACATGATTATTTTATTCTGATGATGAATGAGAAGGACAGTGTGGCATTTTAAGAATTATTTTTGCATAATTATAGTTGCATATGTCCGGTGACAGAGGGGTATGACCATTACAACTTTCCAAAAGTAAGTGGTCTCCATGTTGATATTAAAATGTTAGGTGGTGGCTGAGTGGTTTTTACCAAGGTCATGGGTTGAAATTTAGATTTTATATTTTATTTGCCTTCATGTTTCTGCTTCTTTGTTCATTTCTTACAAAGATTCTGCTTTCATCATCAAATTTGGGATTGAGTATTGACTATGGTCTACTAGGTTAGTAAACAATGCAAACATTTTATTTTGTAAGTTGTGTGCATGATTCCCTTTTTCTAGAAATAATTTATGCTGTCAGATCTGTCTCATGAAAATTTGTGGATAAGTGTAGACTAATATAATATTTTAAGACCTGTGGTTCTGCTGTGTGAATTGTGATTGTATTAGGTTAGATCCTTTGACTCTGTCAATGATCTTTGATCAATTGTTTGTTTAATTGAATAGTTTATTTAGGGTACTGGATTATTTTGTCAGTATGATAGACTTTTCACAATACTATGTCGAATTCTGGAAAAATGGCTTAGAAATTCTGGAGAAATGCTATTTCTTAGTATTTGGATAACTTTGAAGCCTTAGGGGTGAACTATTGCTGGTCTTGCTCTCGAACCTGCCTCGTCCCTACATATGTTTGTGGTTTTAAGGGTGAACCATGGGGATCAATTTTGTTTGTTTATGGCCAAATACATGATTCGGTGTACTGGGGTAAATTTTATGCTTAAAGCCTCTAGAAATAAGTACATTATTTCCCAAGTATATAGTTTCCCTATGACAAATATATAGGTTCTTTACTAATAGTGTTCTTCTTTTGTAAATTTTCAATAGCAACTAGTGATTATCGACAGTCCCTCCAATTTCAAAATTTAAACGAAGAAAAGCGAAACATACACCTAGAGGTATGTGCAGTATTGGCATGGAGCATTCTTATATTGTGTGGCTTTATTTTGAGCTCTTAATTTACATAATTACGTGCCCGTTTGTGCAGGTTATAAGGGGTGGTAGAAGAGATAAGGTTTCAATCTATGATGTTGTTGTTGGTGATGTTGTACCTCTTAAGATAGGTGATCAGGTGGGCATAGTTTAATAAGTTAGTTTCATTTGTTGGATTGTGAAATTTTGAGTTATTAAATGGATTGTTTGGATTTTCCACCCAGGTCCCTGCTGATGGAATCTTAATAACTGGTCATTCTCTAGCCATTGATGAATCTAGCATGACTGGGGAAAGCAAGATTGTAAGCTGGTTAGACTTTTTTTCTGACTTTGTTTTAGATCATTGACCTTGTTTTTCTCAGTTATGGGGTATCAATTTGTAGGTGCACAAAGATAAAAAAACACCGTTTTTAATGTCTGGTTGCAAAGTAGCAGATGGTGCAGGGACCATGTTGGTAAGATAAATATGCATTTTTTTTCCAATTTTATCTGTATGAGGAAAATTTTTGTACCTCAATAATGATGAAAACAATGGTGATTGTTTTGAGAATTGAATGACTTTGATCAGGCGAATTGGGTGCACCTTCCGGCCGGATTCACTCTGATGCTTAAGTGTTCTGAAGTTAAGCAAGCAATTAGCAATGAAATAAGTGCATAGCTTTAGAGTTAAGCTCATCCGGTATTTATTGGACGTACCTTGACTTTTTAAGGTTTAGAATCCTGATTGGAATAGAATGACACACCTATATTCTAGGCAAACCTTCCCAAATTCATGATTGAACCTTTCTAGGTTTCTTTTCTCATAAGTCGATTTTTTAGGTCACGTTTATACTGTACACCTTTGAATAGGAAATTTTCTTATCGATTGCCTATGACCGCATTTGATCACTAGTGATTGCCTAGCTATCCTTTACTTGGGTAGACCTAGTCCTTATCTCATGAATTGTGGAACTAGAGTCCCATTTGGGTGCTGATTCGTTCAAAATGTCTTCCATCCATTTGCTCGGTCTACACAAACTGCTCGGGAACTTTGCTGACTGAACCTTTTGCTGAGGTTGATTCCAATTCTGGTTGGCTGATACTGATGCTAGTTTGGTTGGACTATTTTTGGCTCAGGTAGAGGCACTATGCCTTAACTAAATGGACACTTCTTACTTTTGTCACATGTCTTATGTCACGTATCCCTATTAAATGGTCTAATCTGAGCCCCTTCATACCAACTTATGCAATATTTGGTACATTATTTGCGTTATTGCCTCATAAGTGTTTGCGTTGGTAGTTTGATGATTAGTTAGTGGTAGTGACCATTGAGAAGTTAGGAGGACTGGTGGTCAGAATTCAGTAGGTAGTGGAGACTCCATAAATGTCTTCCTTTCAACTTTAAATCGGTTATAGTGAAGTAGTTGATTTTTGAAGGAGAATTAAACTTCTGCATTTCTGCGAGCTGTCATTTTTGATATCCTTCCTCCTTATCTTCTTCATAGAAGTTGATGGCTCTTGTTTTCTGACCAACCTGACATTGAATTAAACATTCTCGCACATTTTTTTTTCTTCACTTTTTTGTTCTAATATTTAAAGTTAGTTCAAAAATGTATTGTCGAGTGAATATTTCCTTTATATCGGTCATGGATGATAATAACTGGAGTGGCATAACATTCCCATTTGTGTTTGAGCATGGTGTTCAATTACCCTTATATCATAGTCTAACCTGTTTAGATCTTAAGATGATGTGTTAGGTTATATATCTAGGATGTTACCCTTAAGGGTATTTTTGATATTTTTGTATTGCTATATATATTGGGATATAGTTGTGTACAAGGATCAAAATTTCGTTTCGAAGTACCGTTTCAGTCAACTTAAAAACAGAAACGTTTCGGAAATGCAATGGAAACGCAAAAAAAATATGGAAACGCTTGGAAACACAAATACAATCCATTAATCTATAAAGATAAGCTAAATAATTGATTAATTCAACATATTTATTGGGTTAACATCTATTTATACAAGAATAAATTTAAATTGGAGGGAAAAAAAGCTTGACATGAGACGAAAACCACTTAAATTAGTTTCAAACACTTAATTTTTATCAAATAAACACATTTTTACATAATATTAAGGTCTCATAATACACATGAAATGTTAATAAGTACATACTTACATTAAATGTAATTGCAGTGGGGTGGTAAATATAATTGCAGTGGGATATTAAATATAATTGTAGTGGGTATTAATTATTAAATGTAATTACAGTGGGTATTAACTATTAAATGTAATTGTAGTGAGGTGTCAAATGTAATTGCAGTGAGTATCAATTGTAATTACAGTGGGCATTAACTATTAAATGTAATTGCAGTGGGGTGGTAAATGTAATTACAATAGATAATAAATGTAATTACAGTGGGTATTAACTATTAAATGTAATTACTGTTGGGTATTGAATGTAATTACAGTAGAGATTAAATATAATTATATGGGGTATTAAATATAATTATTCATACTTGAAATAAAAAAAAAAAATATATATATATATATATATATATATATATACATATATATAAAACTCTGAGTGAACGACTTAGAGTCTCAGACACATCACACACGACTTAGACAAAACACAGAGAGGCGAGAGGCGAGGCGAGGCGATGGCGATGGCGATGGCGATGCCGATGCCAGAGAGAGAGAGAGAGANGAGAGGCGAGAGGCGAGGCGATGGCGATGGCGATGCCAGAGAGAGAGAGAGGAAGAAGAAGAAGAAGAAGAAGAAGAAGAAGAAGAAGAAGATACCTCGGGCTTGTGGTCGCAGCGATGAAGACAAGAGGCTCTGCGTGGAAAATCCAAGCCCTAGATCTGCATGGAAAACTCGAAAATGACTGGATCTGCTCAAATTTGGACTCAAGGTAAGTTCCTCAAAGTCTTCTCCTTCAATTTCTCTGTCTCTTCGAGTTCTTGTGGTGCCTTTCTCTCTCTCTTCTGTCTATTTTTTTTTTTACTTGGAAGACCTGGACTATGTGATTTCTGTATTTTTTCTTTGTGAATTTTGACCGACTTGTGGAAAGAATCTGCTTTCTGAGCCTCATGTGATTTTTTGTGTTTTTTTTCTCTGAATTCTGACTGACTTGTGGAAGAAATCTGCTTTCTAGACTCTTTGTTTTTTTCTTTTGGCCTGGAGTGAACCGAATTTGTACTGTTTTGATCGAAACGGTACTGTTTCGATCAAAACGGTCCGACACAGTCCCGTTTCGAACGAAACATTNTTGTTTTTTTCTTTTGGCCTGGAGTGAACCGAATTTGTACTGTTTTGATCTAAACGGTACTGTTTCGATCAAAACGGTCCGACACAGTCCCGTTTCGAACGAAACATTGGAATTTTAGTATTCATCCCCTGTTTCGTGTCAGTGTGTTGAAATTCCGAAACGTTTCGGATGTTTTGACACGACATTTCATTCCTTGGTTGTGTAAGATCAACTCCAACCACGCTCAATAAAATAGCTACTCAAAATATATTTAAATATTGTATTCTCTACTTTAGTTATCCACTTTTTAAAATTTACTTTAACCACATTCTCTATTTTAGCTAACTAATTCAACTAACTTTCAATAATATAATTCAAAAATACCACGTGGTTTAACACGTAAGCGCCATAATGATGACGTGTCGTGCCACGTCATTAAATCTGGGTTTTTTTTTACAAGATTTAATATTCGACCCATGACCCGACTAAAGTCTACCCAAAAAATCAAAACTTGTGTAAATTAATTCCTCAATAAATTTTGCAAATGTGAAAACTTCAGAATCCAACCAAGTATGATAATATTTAGCACATAAATTTCTACTAAATATGCAAAAATATATATAAAAAAAACTTTTAGAGAATTATTGGACCAAGAAAATAAAGAATAAAAGAACAAGGTTCANTTTCAGAATCCAACCAAGTATGATAATATTTAGCACATAAATTTCTACTAAATATGCAAAAACTTTTAGAGAATTATTGGACCAAGAAAATAAAGAATAAAAGAACAAGGTTCAGATCTCAGGCAAGAGAATGGGTGACACACGCCATAGTTGTAAATCCAGTTGCATGTGAGAGAAAATCTCCCACATACCATCCCAGTTTGCCCTGCCAAGATACGAGTCAAATTAATTCAATGCCGATTCATTTGCTCAAAAAATATATCATCCCAGCCTCTCATATATTCGGGTCCGATCATCGTCGTCATCATCATCATCACTATACGAATACTCTAAGACAGAGTGAAAAAAGGCTGTTGTTTTTTGGAGGAGAGAGAAATCATTGGCATTCTTAGAAAGGGGCAACCACCCTTGAAGAAATCCCATCTCCCTGAAGCTTCATTCATGAGCTATAGTAAGATTTAGGGTTAGGGTTCTAGGATTTGGATTTGAATACTCACCGTTGAATCAAGCACAGAGAAAGAGAGATCCATACCGGGTGAGGACAAACTTTGATGAAGACGATGATGAAACCACAGTGAAGACGAACTCTGATAAAGAACAACTCCAAAATTGGCGCAAAGAGCAAATAGAGAGCTTGTCTTACTAGCCAGAAGTGAGGATTGAGAATGAGGGAGACAAAATAGTCAGTGGAATAGAGAGCCGATTGGAGAGAGATTTTTTGGATTGGCTCAGCAAAATAGCTAAAAGATGGTCTTTACCGAGCCGGTTGGAGTTGTAGACTCTTAGGCGCTTGATGCTTCCTCTACCACAGCTCCTAATTATGGCTCTTCCTCCAACTTTGCTCATATAGGTATATCTAGGATGCTTACTGCATCATCTTCTTATGCTCCTTGGATGATAGATTTTGGAGCCACGGACCATATGACAGGTTCTTCTAGTCTTTTCTTCTCATACTCTACATGTTGAGGTAGGGATAAAGTTAAGGTGGCTAATGGATCCTCATCCTCGATTTCTAGGAAAGGTTCAGTTAATTGCTCACTCTCCCTTCTTTTATTCTTTGTTCTTCATGTTCCCAATTTCTCCACTAACTTATTGTCTGTTAGTAGTATTACCAAAATCCTAAATTATTCAGTATACCTTTTTGGAACTAGAATCGGGAAAAATGATTGGCAGTGGTAAAGCACATGCACATGCTGATCTGTATCTCCCGGATGATAAAGCTTGCCTTTCGTCCACTTGTCAAACTTTCTTTGCAGATATTGTTTAAGCTCTTTAGACCTTACTACAATGGCACAGACGTTTGGGATATCTCTCATTTGGTGTTTTAGAGCATGTTTTTCTTAGACTAGTAAAGTAGTGTACTAAATAATTTTTTGTTTGTGATTCTTACAAATTTGCCAAGCACAGACGTTCTTCTTATCCTAGTACTAATAATAAAAGCACTACTCCTTTTGTTGTCATTCACTCTAATGTGTGGGGACCTTCCTGTGTTATTTATATCTCAGGTTATCGTTGGTTTATCACTTTTATTGATTGTTATTCTCATCTTACGTGGGTGAAATTTTTTCTATTTCTGCTCTTTTCACAAAATGGTTGATGCCCAGTTTCATGCCAAAATTAAAGTCCTTCGCAGTGACAATGGAACTGAGTACATTAGTGAAAAATTTTGCTCTTACTTCAATAAGAGTTGCATCCTTTATCAAACTACTTGTATGCATACCTCGTAACAAAATGGTGTTGTTGAGCGAATAAATCGCCATCTTATTGAGGTTACCCGTTCACTGATATTTACTTTGAATGTTCCTCCACACTTTTGGAGAGATGTTGTACTTACTGTTGTTTATTTGATCAATCGTCTACCTTTTGGTGTCTTGCAGTTTAAGTTTCCTATTGAGTGTCAATCTGGGATTTTGCCGATTTTGTCCCTTTTTTCTCTTTCGCCTAAAGTTTTTTAGTATGTTTGTTTTGTACATGACTACAGAGCATCCAAAGAAAAACTTGATCTTAAGGCTCTGTGGTGTATCTTTCTGGGTTATTCTCTCACTCAAATGGGGTATAAATGCTATTATCCCCCAACACAACAGATGTTTGTTAGCATGGACGTTACCATTCATGAGTTTGAGTCATTTTTCTCTCTTTTCTAGCCACCTCGGGGGAGAATCCAACTACTGAGGAAGAGATGATATGTCAAGAGCCCTTCCNTTTACATGACTACAGAGCATCCAAAGAAAAACTTGATCTTAAGGCTCTGTGGTGTATCTTTCTGGGTTATTCTCTCACCCAAATGGGGTATAAATGCTATTATCCCCCAACACAACAGATGTTTGTTAGCATGGACGTTACCATTCGTGAGTTTGAGTCATTTTTCTCTCTTTTCCAACCACCTCGGGGGAGAATCCAACTACTGAGGAAGAGATGATATGTCAAGAGCCCTTCCTTCAATCGTCTTTCCAGTGGGGGAACAACAAATTGTTAGTACCAAAGATCTACCTGGTCCTTTGAAGACCTATTCTCGGCGATAGATGGTATAGACCACCCATGTGCCGCTGGGTCAGTTGAATTCTTCCACTTCAATTCTAGAATCTCCTACTGGTTCACCAGGTAATGAGCTTCCAGTTGTCACTCAGGTTATTGATAATCCAACTATTGATGACTTTGGCTTCCTATTACAGTTAGAAAAGGTGTTTGAGCTTGTACTCAACACCCCATATCTAACTTTTTTTTTTATAATTCCTTGTCTCCATCCTATCGTATCTTTGTTTCTTACTTGTCCTCTATATCTATTCCTCAAGGTTGAAAGGAAGCTCTTATTGATCAAAAGTGGCGAGAAGCTATGGTAGACTAAACGAGAGCCCCAAAGAAGAGTGACACATGGGAATTAGTTTCATTTCCTGTTGGAGCAAGTGTAGTTGGGTGCAAATGGGTGTTCACTGTTAAACATCAAGCCGATGGTTCAGTTGAGAGATACAAGGCAAGACTGGTTGCTAAGGGATTCACTCAGACATATCACATTGATTATCATGAAACTTTTGCCCCTGTGGCAAAGATGAACTCTATACGTGCCCTTCTCTCCAGTGCAATTAATTTGGGATGGAGTCTACAATAGTTGGATGTGAAGAATGTTTTTCTTTATGGAGACTTGGAGGAGGAGGTATATATGGAGATTCCACCTAGTTTTATATCTTAGGTAACCGAAAAAAAGGTGTGTAAGTTGAAAAGTCACTTTATGAGTTAAAACAATCACCTAGAGCCTGGGTTGATGGGTTTCTCAAACCCATGTTGAAATTTGGATATAATCAGAGTTATACAGATCATACTAGGTTCATCAGGTAGGTAGATGACAGAATAACAGTTCTTATTATATACGTAGACAACATAGTAATAATTGGGAATGATGTATAGGAGATCACCAAACTAAAAGCTTAGCTAGCTAGGGAATTTGAAATCAAAGACTTTGGTCCATTGTGATATTTTCTTGGAATTAAAGTTGCTAGATCTGACAAATGTATTTTTATTTCTAAGAGGAAATAGGTTCTTTACTTTCTTGAAGAAACTAGTATGTTGAGATATAGACCTACAAATTCCTATATTGAAGCCAACCATCGGTTGATGAGTGGTGTTGGTGATATTGTGGATAAAGAGAGATGCCAGAGATTAGTGGCGAGATTAATATATCTCTCTCATACTCGGCCGAATATTGCTTATGCAGTGGAAATTGTAAGTCAATTCATGCATGACCCTCGACTCCCTCACCAGGAAGTTGTTCATTATATTTTGAGATATTTCAAGTCACCAACAAGGAGAGGGATCTTGTTCCCTAATAAGGGTCACTTGAAACTAGAGGCATTCACTGATGCAGACTGGGCAGGTGCACTAGATGATAGAAAATCCACTTCAGGCTACTGTACTTTGATAGGAAGAAATATTGTCGCATGAAAAAGTAAAAAGCAAACAGTGGTAGTCAGGTCTAGTGCATTGGCTAAATACATAGTAATGACTCACGGAGTATGTGAGCTTATATGGCTCCAAACCCTACTGAGTGAGCTAGGAATTTGTAGTGATGGGCTATGAGACTGTACTATGATAATAAGGCAGATAATAAGGTAGCTATCAACATTGCACACAATCCAAGTCAACATAATAGAACTAAACATGTTGAGATTGATAGATATTTCATCAAAGAGAAGCTGAATAAGGGTTTAATTTGCATGATTTTTGTGAAATTAGAAGATTAGTTGACCGATATTTTCACAAATGGGCTTAGTAGCATGTTTTTTCATCCTATAATTTGCAAGTTGAGCATGAAAGACATTTATGCACCAACATGAGAGAGAGTGTTAGGTTATATATCTAGGATGCAGCCCTTAAGGGTATTTTTAATATTTTTGTGTTGCTATATATATTGGGATGTAGTTGTGTAACCTAACAAAGTATTCTCTTCTTATATTCTTGTTCTCTCTCTTCTCAAAACCTATCGGTAGGGGTGTTCATCCTACCCTACGGGTAGGAAATATTATCTTCCGTTTTTATATTCAATACTTTGCGGAAGAATTTTTTCTTGGCCTACCCTACCCGATTAGGTGTGGTATTTCTACCCGACTTCCTACCTGATTAATCAGGTAAACACTTTTGTAGCTATTAATTTTTGGATCATTTTAACAATTCAATTAAATAACATGCACCAATTTAACGACACAATAAATTAATAACACTAAAACCTAAAACAACTACAACAACAATTACAATAAAATATAAGAAAGCATGAACATCAATCCACAATAATTGTTACACAAATACAAATAATTATTTTAAGTTTAAACCATATGAAACACTTTAAAATCATAATTCCTCTAATAGTTCACTAGTTCACCACAAATCATGTAACATACACAAAAAATAAGTACATATTTTCGCAACTCAAACATCTACAACAATAACAATGTTATAATATAAATTATACCACACAAATACTCTTATAATTACTAAAAAAATTATTAAAAAATTAAATATATTTTTTGCGAGTAGGGTAGGGTAGGGTAGGAATGCGGAAATTGATGGGTATTCCGCATTTCTACCCGATTTAATGGGAAAACCAAAAACTCTTCCGCATTCCTACCCGATTTTTTAGGCAAGCCGTTCAGTAGGGTAGGGTAGAAAATTGCAGCCAATAGGAAATTTGAACACCCCAGCCTATCGGCATGATAATTTACCTTGATGTCTAGTGTGGAATAATATGCAAAGTTTTTCACACAGTTTTTGATAAATGTTTATCAATTTCTTCTTTCCTTAGGTTACTGGTGTGGGAATAAATACTGAATGGGGATTGTTGATGGCAAGTATATCGGAGGATACTGGTGAAGAAACCCCCTTGCAGGTTTTTTTTCCCTCTGATATGCTGATCTCTAGGGTCTCTAATTTCACTAATGAGTTGTACTAAAGGCTGTATTTGAACGACCATGATAGGTACGCTTGAATGGGGTAGCAACTTTTATAGGCATAGTTGGACTTGCTGTGGCTCTATCTGTGCTCACTATTCTCCTGGCTAGGTAAAGTTCGCATTGGTATATGAATCATATCTTGTTATATCCATGTGCTCTACAACCAGTTAAACTTTATTTAAAATTTCTCAGATTTTTTACCGGTAATTCAAGAAATCCTGATGGAACTGTTCAGTTTTTCCGTAGAAAGACCAGCATTGGTGAAACTGTTGACGGAGTCATTAAAATTATTACTGCTGCGGTAAGTACTGTTTCTGTAGGTTTATTGTTTGCTAAAGTTTCTTTTCCTCTGTTTAACCTCCAGTTCTATTTAGGTCACCATTGTGGTTGTTGCAGTCCCCGAGGGGCTTCCTTTGGCTGTTACCTTGACGTAAGTATTTTTCAGCACATCTGGTATTACTGCAGCCTTTACTTTTATTTCTTTGCTTGCTCTAATTTTAACCTGTCACGAACTCTGTGGCAGCCTAGCATACTCGATGAAGAAAATGATGGCTGACAAGGCCTTGGTATGTATCTTTTTCATTAGTTCATTGGATTTTGTACTCCTGTAGTTTGTACATTAAACTTTTGGACTGATGAAAGTTCCAAGACAATGTTTGAATTTGTTAACAGCAGTTAGTGTACAGGTGCGTAGGCTTTCAGCTTGTGAAACAATGGGTTCTGCAACAACTATTTGCAGTGATAAGACTGGAACATTAACCCTGAATCAGGTCAGTTTTCCTGCATTTTTAGGTTTTGTTGTTTGCTTTGAATTGGGATTCTTTGGTGTCCCCGGAGGTACTGCACCAATATTGTAGGCAACTGGTCGTTGCTTTGTGTGTTACTTTATGCCAATTACTTGAAACGTTGATCTTTGGTATTTGTTATGATGAAATTATTTCCGAGCACAGATGACAGTAGTTGAGGCTTATGTTGGGAGAAAGAAGATCGATCCACCTGAAGATGGTTCACAGTTGCATGCAATGGTTTCCTCTCTGCTAGATGAGGGCATAGCACAGAATACTACAGGCAGTGTTTTTTCCTCTAAAGTACTCTCTCTCTCTCCCTCCCTCCCTCGCTCCGTATCAATAGGATAATGAGTGCTGGTGCATTTCAGTGTGCGAGACTAACAATGCCAATCTTGTCCTGGGTGATACAGGCTCAGCCATGATAAGGGCTGTTATATGTCTTCTACCAGATAAAAGTTCTTGTAAAGATTAACTTATGCACGTAGATGTTGTGGAGCTTGAAAAAAACTAGTTTTTATCCATTCTAAGATACTTATAAAATGAGTTGAGGCTGAGCATGCAACGACTTTTCAACGTATTTGAATAGCACCTTTTTAGCTGAGCCTTTGATTAATGTTCTTAACTGTACCACTTCCATTGAAATGACTTTGATATAGATTCTTCAGCATTTTGCTCCTCTTCTTATCCACTAAATAGATTGATTTGTGGTTGTACAAACTCAATTAGAAGTGCTTATTAAGGATGTCATCTTTCTTTCATTTAGTCACCTGTTATGCACTAGAATTTGTCTTTAATTGTCTTTATGTATATAGGATGGTGGTGGCATAGAGGTTTCCGGATCTCCCACTGAAAAGGCTATTCTTTATTGGGGTGTCCAGGTACGTTCCTTTATGGTACCCTGCAATCTGTTTCATTCATTTTCTTTGTTGAAGTTGATAATTCTTTTCAGAACCTTTGTTGCAGTTGGGAATGAAGTTTGATGTTGTTAGATCAGAATCCATAATCCTCCATGCTTCTCCTTTTAATTCCACAAAAAAACGAGGTGGTGTTGCATTGCGAGGGCGGGTAATCCACTCATTCTATATCCCTGATGTTTAATCATGGTTAATGAGCTCTTGGTAGAGCTTGTATTGTTGTGTTTGATAGATTTTAAACTTGGCTAGTAAACAGGAATTGTATTTTACAAGTTGTTTTTGTCGTTTTGTCAATGGGGGGATTATTGTTATTGTGGGGATGTTACAAACTTACAGTTAATTGGTATTGCTGTGCTATCTCAGTAGGTAGTTGGGTCCTTTCTTTGACTTGGAATGTGTTTCACCCACTCATATAACCTTTGGACCAAGCACCTGGCCCTGCTTGTTTACTTTGGATCTAATACCAAAGGAACAATCCAGTCCTTTTTTGTCATAAGCCTCTGTGGGCAGTTCTTTTAGAAATGACATATACTCACAAGGTCTAAAATTTAGGAATGTCAAGTGCATAAATAGGGCATGTCTGAAGCAAATACTGGCTGCTTTATGAACTGAATTCCTAATAACTTGCAGCTTCCATTTGTTCACCAGACAAATGCGTCACAAATACTCATGCTTTTAAAGAATCATGTTGTGTGAATCTTCCATCTATAAGTTATTCGAATCCTATAAAGTAGGGAGTTATAATTAAGTAGTAATAATTAGAGGGACTTATGCTGGGAGGGGTGAACTGGTTATAAACCACCTCTAAATTCATTTACAGGAAGCAGATGGCTATGCTTGACGGCCTGACCTTTTACAGTTGCACCAACCTGTTACAACGCTTGATTATCGTTGTCGCCTATGTTATTGTTTTCTGGGTTGTCCATCAACGATATTTATTCTGATGTTTGAGATGAATAATTAAAGGAGTTCTTTTCATTCTATTTTTATGGCAGTCTAACTTGAAAGTTCATATACATTGGAAGGGAGCAGCTGAAATAATTCTAGCTTCTTGCACAGGATATCTCGACACAAATGGTTGCTTGCAATCCATTGATGAGGATAAGGTCAGTAATCAGTGATGTGCAAGAACTTGTGGAAGAACCAATCTGATATAAATTCAATTTCAAAAACGTGTTCTAACAGAATATGAACTGAGGATCAACAATTTATAAAACACATTTCCAAATTATGTAAGAAGTATAAAATAAAGCAATTCAAAGCATGTAAAATGATCAATAGAACTATGTATTATGATTTTTACATTTTTGGCAGGTGTTTTTTAAGGAGGCTATTGAAAACATGGCTGCAAGAAGCTTGCGATGTGTTGCAATTGCATACAGAACATGTGAAATAGACAAAGTCCCTACTGAAGAAGACCAGCTGGCACAATGGGCTTTACCTGAAGATGACCTTGTTTTGCTTACTATTGTTGGTATTAAGGTATACATCTTAATACAAATTCATTACTTTCACACTGTATTCTCAACGATAGTCTGATAATTGCATGGATTACAACTTTTCTTTTTAACGATCTATGGACTCTGTTGTCACTGTACATACTGTTTTGTCAAATGTCAATTTGGTATACCAAGTTCCTTCTTTATCTAATACATACCTCCATGCACAGGATCCTTGCCGCCCAGGTGTCAAAGATGCAGTGAGACTATGCACCGGTGCTGGTGTTAAGGTAATTATTTCATCTTTATTACAGTTCATGACATAAATTCCGATGATATTCATAATCATATCCTGATTAAAGGAAAAGGAAAGAATATATGATGGGAACTGTAAATATGTAAACCCATAGGTGCGCATGGTCACTGGAGATAATCTTCAAACAGCCAAAGCTATTGCTATTGAATGTGGAATACTTGCTTCAGACACTGATGCTACTGAGCCTAATATTATTGAAGGGAGGACATTCCGTGAATTATCTGACAAAGAAAGAGAACAAGTTGCCAAAAGAATATTGGTATGGTTTGAATTACACAATTTGTGACAATTTTCATTTCTGATTATACGTTGCTTGTAATGTATGCACATGTTTGATTATGTTTTTTATATATAGGTAATGGGAAGGTCTTCTCCTAGTGACAAGCTTCTTTTTGTGCAATCACTACGTAAACTAGGGGAAGTTGTTGCCGTAACTGGAGATGGAACTAATGATGCTCCCGCACTCCATGAGGTCTGACTGCAGGATTTTTTTTTTCCAAATCTTTTTTTGATCTTCTGTCTCTGTCAAGCATAATGTACTACTATCAGGCTGTCAAGCCTGCAATCTTGACATACATGCATCATTAGGCACTTGCTGGCCTAAGTTGAAACATAAAAACTAGTGGAACTCTCGCACTTTTAATGTGGAGACAGAAATGAGGTGTTGATCAGATAAGTTTCCTTAATTATGCATGATGTCTCAACTACCTATGCAGAAGGCCTGTTGTCTGTGCCTGCAGTGTTTTTAAACTATGTATGAAAGTGCTCTTTTCCAGTAAGAATGAGTGGATAAAATTATTTGGTACATTCTACTGCACATGCTAAATGGAAGAACTATTTTTGTTAGTGTGTTAGATATATCGACCAACAATTTTGATTAGGGTGTAAGTGCGTTGGCATGTTTTAGTCGCATATACAGTCTAAGAAATGTCTGCAGGGTTGATTATTTCTAGATATTAGGTTTCATATGCAATGGGATATGACAAAACCAAGGGGACTATCTTTAGTAAATTTTTGTGCACTAAGCATCTAGAAAGGAAGGAAAATCATCCTGCCTGTCGAATTACATTAAACATATTGGGCCTCTAGTGGATAAAATCCCTTATGTTGCCTATTATCAGGTTGCGAGTTGATTACGGATGTATACCCGTTTAAAGTAATTGGATGTGTATTTGCCCAAATCTCCAAGAACTCCATTTGCCCGCATCTCCAATCTGAGATTGTACTTTTTATGATAGTGTTGTTTACTTCTTGCAGTTGGTTACATTTTCCCTCTTGTGTTTTAGGCCGATATAGGGCTTGCCATGGGCATTCAAGGAACCGAAGTTGCAAAAGAAAGCTCGGACATTATTATCCTGGACGATAACTTTGCTTCAGTAGTGAAGGTTGGTGTGAACATACAATTTAGTGATAAAATATTAGTTTGCTAAGAAGCATGTACAACTCAACTAAACTCAACAAAGACTTATGCCAATTATTTGAATTGATTACATGAATCCTGTTTCCCTATTGTGCTCTATCAAGGGCCATATTTTTCATTAAACTATAAGCTATCATCTCTTTTTTTATTATCACGTTCAAAGTTAATTTCGGCCTATTTCTACATGTTGCAATACCATTCATATGCATCACATCACGCCTATTTACTAGTACAATACTAGGTTTTATATAAGTCCAAACCCCCTGAGTTGATTATGTAGTAAGAAGCATATACCGCGTGTCTTCGGGGGCTTTCAATGTCAGTTTGGTTTATAGAGATTCCAAGCAAGGCTGGCCATTATGTTTCTTTGAACAGAAGGATGATGGTGGTTTAAGCCTGGGATCCTACAAACCAAACTCTAATCTGTCCTTTTAAGCCCCTACAAGAGCAACCATACACGATCTATCTTCTTACTTTTTGTTTTGGAGGTATTGAGTGATAGGCTACTTTGAAATTTCCTTCATGTCTTCATGATTTTATTTGTTCTCCATGTAGGTTGTACGATGGGGTCGTTCTGTCTATGCAAATATTCAGAAATTTATCCAATTCCAGCTTACTGTTAATGTTGCAGCGCTTACAATTAATGTTGTGGCTGCAATTTCTTCTGGCGATGTACCTTTAAATACAGTGCAGGTCTCTCTCTCTCTCTCTCTCGGTATATATTTGTGTGTAGAGCAGATCGCTATCATTTCATGGTGTACCCTGCATACATTGGAATGCTTGAAATATGGAATCTGTGGTGGTACTTATGGGGCAGTATGTGTAAAATGGGCCAACATCTATAACTACTAATAAAAGTACCTGAACATGAAAAACTTTTGATTCACTATTTTGCCCTATTAAAAACTATAAAGGCTAACATGTCCTTTTGTATTTAAATATGAAAATTACCATTATGTGCTGCTATATTTAAATAACAAGCTNCCATCTATAACTACTAATAAAAGTACCTGAACATGAAAAACTTTTGATTCACTATATTGCCCTATTAAAAACTATAAAGGCTAACATGTCTTTTTGTATTTAAATATGAAAATTACCATTATGTGCTGCTATATTTAAATAACAAGCTAATCTCTAATATATCATGCAAATCTCTCTATCTTTGCAAAACTTTTAAATTGTCATATTATGCGTAACATGATATATAAAAACAACATTATTCTTTTTACTCAAAACCTCATTATTAATACATGTTGACAACTTCATCAGTACAATAGCATTTTCAATACCCAAAATTGAATATTTTTATCTTATCTTTTCATTCACAATCAAAATAATTTGTTAAAAAATTAGTGATGCACAAAGAAAAAACAAAAAATACAAAAGGAAAAAAAATTGAGAAAAGAAAAATCTATAACTCTTACTACTTGGTAGCTCGAAAGAAAGAACCACATAAAATAAAAGGTAAATTACATTTACACCCCCTGAAGTTTGTCACTTAATCAGGTAGGCCCCCTCATATTTGACAAATAACATTGAAATCCCTTCAAGTTTGTACGCTTGCTACACTTACACCCCTATTGTCAGAGTCCGTTTAAAACACTGTCAAAAGTTATGTGATGTTAGCCTAGTTTTAACAGAAAATTCCCAAATTATCCATTGCAAGACCCATGAGTCAAAACTTTTTCATCCATTATAAAACAATTTTTTTTTCCTTTTCTGGTCAGACCATTAAACCAAGTTAAATCACACCCAAAAGAAAACAATTTATGCCAAAACATCTCCCATGCCACTTCCAGCCTCCAAGCCCAAACCACTGCCAGCAATTTCCATGTAATTTCCTAGCTACGCCGTGCAATTTTCAACCCCTGAAATGATTTCTAGCAACCACCATGCAATTTTTGCTCCCAAAACCACTTTCAATCCAACACCTAAAAACCACCAGTAACCCACATATCTACTTTTGATAGAAACCACCGCCACCACTATGACAGAAACCACTGCCACTACCTGTTACAAAAACCACTAGCACCCTCACTTCCGTTTTTCAATACAAGTTAAACCACAAGATCGAACAACCAGTCATTGCAAACAAAAATTTCCTCCCAAAACAATATCAAAAACCCATTGAATGTTAATTTGTGATTTATTTATAAATTAACGATCAATAACAGCAGCACTCAACAAATAAACAAGTAAAAAATTAACAACGTCACAAACCCCATAAACACCATCATTGACAATCCAACACAATGGATTTGAGAAAAAAGGGTGAAAGATAACAAATACATAAAGAACGAGTTGATTCTCTCTTTTGCTCTTTCTCTCTCTCTCTATATATATATATATGTATATATATATATAGTATTAGCAAGAGATAAAGTTTGGTCATGTAGGTGTTTATGTGTCTGGGTGATTGTTGTTGTTCTTGGGCAGGCAGGGGGGTGTTTGCGGGGAGCTGGTTTACCAGAGGGAACGACGAAGAGAAATTAATAGGGAAGATATTTATGGGTATCGTGGTTGGGTCAAGTTAGGGCGGGTTAGATTCGGGTATGGTAGATGTGCTTTGGGTTAGGTTGATTTTATTTTCTTTACATCAAAGGGTACAACAGTCATTTTATAACTTCCGTTAGGGCTGTTAGGTGACTGTTTTCGATAAGGTGTGTCAGTGTAATATTTCATACTTTAGGGGGTCTTTCTGATTAAGTGACAAAACTCAGGGGATGTGAATATAATTTACCCTAAAATAAATTCATTGGATGTTTATAGTTATTGTAGTATTCGATAAATTCAGGACACATGTCTACACCATCGCAGGACAAGTGGCATGAGTCATCAACTGACATAGACATGGAGCCCGACAGCAGTCCAGTTAGATTGGTATAGATAACAATGCCATGTGCAACGTGTGACACCCCAGGCGCGACACCCATGGTGCAACGTCCCCTTGGCGCAATGCCCTCAGGCACAATACTGCAACAAGGCAAAATACATCCCCATCACATTGGAAGTGACAAAATGGACCCTTCACCAAGGGTGGACAAAAGTGGAATCGCAAAAGTATAGGGGTAACCTCAGCGAGAAAAGAAAAATTTATAACCCCTACTACTTGGTAGCTCGAATGATAAAATCACAAAAAATAAGTTCATTAGATGTCTATAGTTATGAAGAGAATACAAATAATTTAAATATGAGATAATATCTAATGTAGCTACATAGTTAGATTTTTTTTTATGTATTTTATCAAATGTTTCAACAAAAAATTTCACGTGCAACGCATATCTTGCATTGCTAGTTTCCTAAAACGGTTTTTTTGGGCTTATTTAAAGATTTTCGTCTAACTACCCTCCTCCACCCACCC